GCAATGTGAAGTAGATGGTCATTAATAGCGTCATGTTAAACAGATGCATGACTAGCAGCAGCTCACATCTATGTGTTAGTTTCTGTTCAACTTTTAATCTGATCAAAACCTACGAGTTCACATGTTTGAATAAATGGCAGCTGTTTTGTATTTTTATCTGAGCTAAAAACTTTGACTTTATTTCAGTCAAAACAAAAGACTCTCTTACAAGCTGCTGCTATGATTTGTTTTTCGAGAAGCGCTCATTTGGAATTTACAACAGAGTTAATACATTTATGGCTTATTAACACTCATAGCACTTACTGCAAATCCTCATATGTTGCTCAGAAACCATAAACTGGTAAAAGTTGAATCATATTTAAATCATGCTGAAGGATTTGGAAGGAGCCGTCTGGAGGTGACTCTCCGAGGTCAGTGAGCAACGATGCAGAACACCCATCGGTTAGCTGCAGCAGCAATGCGGTCCACGAAAGACGTCTTTGCATTACTTTGGGTACGAAACCTAAAAAGACTGCCACACACACACACACACACACACAGTTGATGCATACACAATCACACACCCTGCTGACACCTCAGTGTGACCACACTCTCACCTCAAACCTTTCCATTCACTGAGCGACAGGCCAAATTTTCCACCAGCGGATGTTTTTTGAGGCCAGCTTTTGTTTGATGAAACATAAGACCTCAGTGGGGGCCGGAGAAAGCCGCGTTTTCTGGTGGATACTTCACGTTTTGTTCCACCGACTGAAATCACCTTTTATTAGCTTTTTATTATCTTTGTTTATCTGAATCAGACATAAATTCGACATTTTAATGAAGCTGACTTTTCTCATGCTTCTCTTCCAACTTTAAAACAATAAACATGAGGCTACTTACAAAAAAAGACACCCAAAGCTGAACAACATGAGTTTGTCTTTCCATATATGGAAGTAAAACACCAAAACTACAGACAAAATAGTATTTTTTTAGCTCTTGCTCAGATACACACACTCCAACAGGAAGAGTGTGGGTGTTTGGGAACAGCTGCATGGAGAGGCATCAGACCCAGCTTCCTCCTGGTGCAGCGAGCACCAGCTCTCCTCCCTTTCTCTCTTTCACTCCCTCCATCTTCTCATTTCTTTGACGTTTAATTATTCTTTTCCTTGTTTCAAAAAAAAAAAAATCTGCTCCTCTCCTACACAGCGAGAAACAGACAGTATCACACCACCATCTCATGTTGGCTCAACTTGAGATTCAATCTGCACCGTTGGCAGAAATTAGCAGGCTTTGGCATGCACACAGAAAACAGTTAGTGCATGTTGCAATGCAAACACAACATGCGTACGTGTGTGTGAGTGTGTGTGCGTCTGTCCTGTTTTTGTCCTCCTTTCCACGTAATGGTGAAACATCAGCACATCACCACTTGAAAGCCTGAATATTGCACAACATTTTCCTGTGTCGAGCTCTAATCGCGGCGCTCGCTGGCAACGTTAAAACTTTCCTTCACTTGCACAGCTGTGTGAGGTGAGGCTGAGATGACTCAAAGAGGCAGATGGACAGAGCAGATAAAGATTCAAGATGAACATGGGGAGGAAGATGTTTTGGAAATTTGACTGTTGCATCAGAGTCTCGGTTGTAAAATGTCAATGGTTGAGATGGTCTTTGAAGCCAGTTATCAAAATGATAAATGGATGCTGCATATGTTGGCAAATTTGCGCACCATATGAATGTTTCATCCCCCGGTTTGAATCAAGGCCAGACAAATCTACATGCACAGGTGCAAGAGAGGCTGAGCATATCTGTGTTTCACTTTCCCTTCCAGTTTTCTCTTCCTGCTCCCAAACGCTAATGCTCCGCGCCGTTTCAGCCGGTATTCCTGTTCCTTTAAAGCCTCTTTCAGCCACTTTCTGTCAGCAGCACGCCCCCAGTGCACAGTAACTGCACTGAAGACACTCAGCAGTTATTTCTGGGTTTCCTGTGTGTCATGCGGTGGTAGCTTGAGCTAGCTAGCATGGCTGACAACACACAGGCTGACAGGTGCAGCATGTCACGGAGTGGGCCGTCAGCCAGAAAGCCTGTGGGCCAGTTAGTAGTCAACTGGGCCCTGCAGCACGTGCTGCCCTCCACCCGAAACACGGCTCCAATCCCAGAGGGGCAGAGAACAAACTCTGTCACATTTCCTCAGTGGAATTAAAAAACCATTGTGTGTGTGTGAACATGTGTGAGCTCGCCGCGCCACACAAACCTGTTTTAGATAATCTTTTTATTAACTTACTCATAACTACATGCACAGTAGCTGCGCTTATTTCCTTCTTCTCCCTCGGCGTTGAATCGTCACCCACAGATCAGACCTGGAGTTTAACCAGCTTGCAGGGGCCACCAGGATTTGCCCTCTCTCCCCAGCTTGCCCCCAAGCCGCAGATGCAGGAACCCAGACAAGGCTGCACTTCTCTGGGCAGCACAGAGACGCCGCTGTGCTCTGGTTCCTGGAGCCCCGACGCTCTGATTGAGACCGTGTGCCCCTGCAGGAACCAGAGGGAGGGGAAGGGAGAGCATGGGAGGGGATGCGAACACATCTGGCATCTGAAAAACCCTGCACATAGCTGCTCATATCATCAGGAGATAAATGTACAAGCAATTAAAAAAAAAAAAAGTAGAAAACAGACATATCTAAAGCATGCCTGCTGGAGCTCTACAATTTGGATGAAGCAATTAAGTGAGGAGCAGAACAAGACGGCACAGCCATTCTCCAGCTGGTAGGACAGCACAACTCCAAGCTATTGTTCTATTTATACATCCTACCAAACAACGCCGTGCTGATGTCTGAAGAAACAAATTATATTACTGCAAAGCACATGAAGAGGAAATGCCAAAAAAACAAAGCAACTTTCAATCATGTGTATAAATACTGCACAAAAATAAGTTAAGATCTATTGATGTCGTCAAAGGGAAGTTAAATAGAAAGCTGCGAAAAGGAGGACACAATAGAGAGCGTATCAGTGCAAGACATTTTGCGTGGGTGCACGGCTGTGCAAGGTGTCTTTTTGGTGTCTTTTTGCTCGTTTTGCGTGGGCGCTCCCCTTTTGCATTAGGCGGCGGTACAGGACGGCGTTCGGAGCTGCTGCTGCTGCTGCTGCTGCTGGAGACGTGTGTTTACGTGAATGCGTGTGTATGTGTGGGTAAAAGTGCAGAGAACCTCCGATAAACAACCGACACGTTTATCTCCACGTCTCAGCCCACTGTTTCACAGCGCCACCTGTTTTCACAAACCTGCTCAATCCTTCATTAGGAGGGTTTTTATTGAACCGATTAACTAAGAGATGTGTATTCTTAAAACGTTTCAGCGAGACGCAGTTTGTGGCCAGCTGTGGGGCCGTTATAAGCCCATCTGCAGACAATAGGCTCTGTCTGATGGGCACACAGCCTGGTTCCTGTCCTGCCTCGCCCCACTGTGTTTGTGTGGATGCCTATATGACAGTACCATGCATTTCCATGCCCCTTTTTAACCTATCACAAAGACACCACACACTCCTGCAGCTATTTCTAAATGTGACTCATTTTTGCATGAAATTTTCGCAGCACATCTCGACTCATTCTGAACCTAGTGTGTGTGTGTGTGTGTGTGTGGCAGAAATCAGCAGCAGCTCGCTGAGGCCACTGGTGCAGGTGGCGGAGAAGCTGATCACTGATCCCAGCCTGCGATTAGAGCTCGTCGAAACCTGAGGAACTCAACAAGCTCGTTTTATTAAAAGGTTATCTACTGTTAAAAATGAAAAAATCAAACTGACATGCAAAGTATAAGCAGGCTCTGGAAAACAGCTTGTTGGCCAAACCACACCACTCTGAGCAGTTCGATCAAGCAAGCCGCAGCTCCACATGCCTCGACACACACACGCACGCACGCACGACTCCTGCATGCAGACACATGCAAAAATATCTGCCCCAATACTAAAATAGGCCCGGGGAGGTTGCACCTGCACCTGTGCCCTGGTCCACACCTACACACAGGTGTCAGGATGTGACACATACACACAGACAGAGAAAGAGATAGCGGAGAGGGAGGGGGAAAAACAAGAGCGGGGTGAATCACACTACTGCGGTCGACCAGAAAGCTTTTTCTAGATATCATCTCTGTATTTTGGATTCTAACCATGAGTGTGATTTTCATTTTTAACTACACTTTCACAGCCGTGTGTTTAATTTTAAAAACACGGCGTGCAGAACGGTTTCCGGGGATTTCTTGTTTCTTTTCTGAATGATTGTATTTTTAAGATGTTCAGCTGTAAGTTGTTTTTCTTTTAATTCTAATTGTGGTTTTGCAAGAAGTGGGGTGAGGGGTTCAGCAAAAACCGAACCAGACAAAGAGCACAGAGGCTCAGAGTTTCTCATTCTGCTTTCCAAAATGAGTCCTCTCTAAACGCGTGTCTGAGTCACAGATGTTCCCTCGCTGCTGTGGCACGTCCCTTCTCAGACGGGACAAAATAGTTTATAAATATAGCATAAAATAGTGGGCAGGTGTGTGCATAAACAAATATTGATACATAGAAAAAAAAATCATCCACACAACAATCAAAAATATGGAGGAGATTCAGTTTATTGTTTCTTAAATGAGATAAGAAAAGTCCTTTAATTAAAATTTATATGAAATGTTATAAATGACAATAGCAATAGAAAACTGGATATAAAGCAATAAAGCAATCAATTTATATTTAGCAATTGTTTCACAGTTATTGTACGACATCTGACTCAAAGCACCTTTATGTTTGTTTTCTATATTGTTTTAGTTTAGAAAATTTACATAAGAAAAGTTTTGATAATGATTTTTAACATGAAAAAAGCAAGTGAAAGTCGATCATGTTTAAGAAATACCGCCACCGTGTGGACATTGAGTGCAGCTGCAGTCCAAACATTTTGACTTATTCTCTAAAATAACATCAGGTCTCTGTTTTACTTTAGTTTACTGATTCATCTTGAATGTTTTTTTTTTTATTTTTGCAAAAGATAAAGAAGCACTTTCATGTTATAAATGTGACTTTTGCAACACATCTCCACACTTTAGCTGAAATTCTAAATATGTAATTTCAGGCTTATTAATAGTTCCAATACATGTGGATAACATAAAATTATATAAAAAACACCTTTTATGTGCACTCATTGGCCATTTTATTAGGTACGCCTGTTAGATTACCTGGAAAAACTAACAGTGACTCAACCAATCACATCACAGTGAAACCTGGGAGTGGGACAGTGGAGCTAATAAAGTGGCCGATGAGTTTCTATCATGCAACAACCATCCAGTGGTTAAATGTAGATATACTGGAATTAAAAGTGGGCGACATGAAGATCTTGGGTCAAAACACAGCAGAGAGATGGCGTGATCATCTGTTCTATGCTCTTGCTCTGATTTATCAGTTTTTCTTTAGCTTCACAAATTAGCTGTAATGTAGCAAGAGTGTGTTACCTGAGAGGCGTTACTGTTTATTTAAAAAAGTAAAGTATAGTTCTGAGCTGAAGGAAACGTTCGGAGGGAGAGTTAACACCAGAGAACCCTGGGTGTTGTGCAGGATAAAAATCAGATGGGTGGAAATTTTTTAAATGACTCACCATGGTGTCATTTTTTACACCACAGAAACCTGACATTTTATCAGAGGGTGCTCACTTTTGTTGACTAGAAGTCTTTTTTCCCCCCACAAGTTGGAAAAATTGTGCCAACTAATATTAATCTGTTAATCTGAAGATGTTTTCTGTCCGTTGTGTTTTTCTTTCTGAGCTTTTTTAGGAAATGGTGATAAAATGGTGATTCTGACTTTGACGTAGAAAACAAACTGAAAAGGTTCATGGAGTGTTCTTGTCATGTCGCCCACTGCTAACTGGAATCATGTAAGTATTTTCCAGTTTGTCGTAAATTTCAGACTGAAAATGCAAAAGATAATAAAGAGTAAATATGCATTGACTGTTATTTCCGTTTCAACTTCTCTGTTGCATTTCACATCTTTAGGTTCTGTTGCTACATACATGTTAAATCTGTCACTAATTCCATTTCCTTCTTATCAAAGCTCCACTTTTCTTCCGTATTTCGGTTTCTTTACTTTATTCCATTGTTTTATTTTCAGTCTACTGCTTTAAACTGTGATATTTTCACAAATTTTAAATGTTTTTGATATATATATTTTAGCATATTTTAAGGATGTTGCTTCATTTTATTGCTTTTTGCTGAACAAAATTCCTGTTTGGTCATACAATCGCCTCCACACACGCCTTACAGCTCCTCCTTGCTGCCTCCGATGGGACAGGAAACCCCGGTCCCTTTAAGGCCACAGTATCCTTTGGGGACCTTCTTCAGGTACTGCTGGTGGTAGTCCTCTGCGTAGAAAAACTCCTGTTCCTCCAGGATCTCAGTGGTGATTGGACCGTAGCCTTTCTTATCCAGTTCCTAGAGACAAAACATGGAAGCGTAAATCCAAGCAGCAGAAAAAGTCAAATGAAACCATCAGTGCTGAAATGTCTTCATCTGCAGCAGAGCATTCCCAGAGGTTTCCTCCCAAACATTCAGGATTCCTTTTTTCCCCCAAAATGACACTTAATGCATCCTTTAATCTGAAGTATGCTGATACTGACATTTAGAGACAAAAGCCTCATAAAAAAGATCAAACTAAAAATAATTTAATACACTGCATAATTTTTAAATCCGTAACATTTTTATTTATCTGTTGAATTCATATAATACATAAGTAATCACAATTATTCTTACATAATTGTGTAGTTATTTATTTTTAATTAATTATTTTTTTTAATTTCTTTGCTCCTGTCCACCAAAAAATAATTCAAATTGTCACTTTGACTGTCACTACAACTATAAAATCAAACATAATACCTCTAAAACAAAATGGTTCTAATTATTTGAATATGAATTATTTCACTATACATTTATCTAAATGATTTGTATTTAACCTAAATCTTTAATGTTGAAAAACTTTTTAAAAATTGTTGCATTCAGTTGTGTTTTACTCTGGGCCAAAAAGTTCCATAATCCAGTTAGTATGTCATTTTTACATACATATTTGTATATGTAATAAAAAACATACACAATAAATAAAATTGCATGTACACCAAAATTATAATTAAATTTTGATTGAATTAGATGTTAAAATCATACTACATTATTTCAGTATTTAATTATTCCACAAGGAAAACGAGACAGTTAAATAAATCTATCTCAAAGAATTTTACTTAAATAAAAAAAATCATGCTTATTAATATCGTTTTAAATTAAATAAATAAATAAATATGTTTATATGTATTCATTTAAACATTTAAGTATTGATAAATCTGTTTATTATTTTAAGGAATTGTAGTAGCATACAAAGGATTTTATTTATGTGTTGAATTTTCCCTCACAGCTGTGAATTTTCAACATTTTCATTTTACGCTCCTCAGTCCGACTGCAAAGTGACACTAGAAAGGAATATCAGCTTCTTCTTATAGTGCAGCAAGCCTTCTGCAGCTCTCTGTAGGACAAAGCATCAAAGAGTATCCGCTCGCTTTGAGAACTCCTCAGGACATTTTCACACTTACCTTTTTCTAAACATGACGAGAGAAACCTTCAAACGCTCAAAAACATCGCTTTCTTCCACACACTGAGCCTCTAACAGCTATATCAAAGCTATACCTGCTGCGCTGAGTGGTTTTCTCCATCTAATAATACAAGCGTTCAGTCCTCTATAGATCGCTGCAGCTGGAGCTGACGAAACAAGCTGGAGGAGCACCGAGACTGTTTGTGGGCAACAAGTAGGTCTCTCCGCGTCAGAACAGTTTGCAGCACTCTGGAGGTTTGTTTTGCTTTGTGGGGGAGTACGCCAAGTTCAGCAGGCATCAAGAGAAAGAAGCAGAGCGTGTTCGATACGGGCTCAACTTGTTCTCATCAGCCTGCATCCGCTTTCTGCAGGATTCATAGACTTTGCTCCTCATAAGGAGACAAAAGTTTGTATTTGACATGTTTGCAATGTTGGCTGACAAACAAAACTTAAATTATTTGAGGAAAGCATGCCTTCTATGGGAATTTATTTTAAAGTGACAGTGTGTTACTTATATATACAAATATATTTGTTTGCATGTTTGTTGAAACTGTCACTATGTTGTAACAGATTGGTATGAAACAGATAATCAGTGAAAAACTGAGTTTCTCTGGCTTCTGCCAGTGCTAACAACAACCAATCAGAGCCAGGAGGCGGGTCTTAGTGCTGTCAATCATGCCATTCACGCCCTCAGTGTCCTCCCCCATGATTCGCTACAGCTTCTCCCCGTTGTGAATGCTAAGTTTAACTGGCAGATAAACAGTTGTTTACCCGCCATCAGAACATTTACAGTGTTGATTGACAGCGCTAAGACCCGCCTCCTGGCTCTGATTGGTTGTTTTTGGTTGGGAGCGGTGCATTTCTTTCAACAGCCCAGGAAGGATGATGAGGTGGAGATGGAGCTTTTCACAGATCGTCTCTTAAATACTGTCACGACATGCTTAAAGATCAAAGTTGTAGCTTTAAGGTTGTTAAACGTTGCTGTATAAAGACTGCAACTTTAAGCTTTAAATGCTGCCAAATCAGACAAATGTTTCAAATGAAGAGCTTACTTGTGAGAAGTGTGTAGTACATGTTCATGCTGCTTTGAACAGCATGCCAGAAGATAAAGAAAGAATGCATGTTTCTGCAAGAGATTTGTAAGTAAAAAGAGTTCAACAACGGCTGTGCTCTGTTCTCCTGACAATGCTGAGGATGTTAAACTTTAATGAAAGGAGCTCTATTTAAAGATTCATTACAGCCTCGCGATCCGATTCATCTAAGAGTAAAAGGAAATTTTTATTTGAAGAGGATTAAGATGAGATTATAGAGGAAAAGGTCAGACAGCTTTCTGAAAATGGAGCCGTGGGCAGCGTGAGACCTTTCAGTGAGATAACCATCAGAAACGGGTCAAGAAAACCTAACGGACGAAAAGGAAACATTGTTGAACTCGTCTGAGGAAAACATTGACCTCAATTATGTCTTCTCATTGAAAAACACAAATTTGAATCCGAATAATGACTTTGACTGCTTATAGCTGCATTTTAACAAATTAGATTATCATTGAAAATGTTCATTTATAATTTACACAAACAGTGTAATGCATCCAAGCATTTGTTTGAGCCAATTTTGATTATAATGGCTTAAAGCTGATGAAAATCCAAAGTTAAGTTTCAGAAAATTTGACAAAATGGCCACAGTAACACAAAAACGTAGGAAAACTGAAGGGTTTTCCTTTGTTCTCAGACATGATGACTGCTTGGTTGTGGCTCCTTTAGCCTGAATTAGTGGATCAGTGCAGCGTGACATGGAAGGATCAGCCTTGCTTTACTACTGACCCTCAGCTTGTCTGGTGGTGCCGTTCCTGTTTGCTGACCAACCAATCACAATGATCCCATGGCCACAAGCCGCAGTGTACCGATAAATAAATCACCCAATGAACTGGCCCGTTAACAACAGTAACCTCACTGTTGCCAACTCTGCAACTTTCTTGCTGTTTTTAGTGACATTTCAGATAAAAATAAATAAATAAAACAGTATCGGTCAAAATCAGAAATGGCAGGTCAAAACTAACTTACAAATAACTTTTCAGCACAACTTAGGCACTTGTTTTAAGTCAATAATTCTTTAATACTGAATTTAAAAAGTACCAGCTATAAGTGAAAAACGTCAGTGGAGCAAAAACATTATAACTTATAATATGGGAAACGTGTTTTGTTGCACTGGTTGATTATTTTATCAATATTAAATAATTATTGACATAAAACAAGCTTCTATATTGTGCTAAAATGCTACTTGGAAGTTAGTTTTGTCTCATTTCAAGTGTACTGAAATATTTGCACTAGAGGTTAAACCAGAAATACTTGGAAAGATTTCAGTGTAACATTCGAGTTAACAGAAAAAAAAATCACGTAAATCTATATATGGTTCGTGTTTTTGATGGGAAAAACAAAGATAAACCATGTTTTGATTACACTGAATTTTATCCAGCACACTTATTTCATAATGGAAACTTTAGCAGCTCAGTTTGAGGGCACCGCTGGTTGAGAGTAACAGCGGTGTTGTGTGTGTGTTTGTCCACATGGAGGCAGTGTCGCACCGGCTCAGCGTGGCAGAGCTGGGACTGATGCAGAGGAGTCAGTAAATCAAAGCTCAGAGCCCCACAGAGAGGTTGAGGCAGCAGCTGACCTCTAACTCCTCAGCGGCTGCTGCTTCAGTGTGAGGGCTCTGGTCTCCCTGCAGGATCCAACCAGCGCAGCCTTTAACAAATACAGCAGACAGATTCACTTCACCGCTGCACACTATGCACATACCGCCAGGAAAGGCCATATTTTGATGATTTCAGGCAGCAGGGTTGTGGAAAGCCGGCTGACGGAAGCACAGAGCTGCACGCCGTGGCCTAATTAATCAGTTATCACCAACAAACCACAGTCAGCGCCGCAGAACCCTCCGGGGTGTTCTGGACGGCCAAGGAAAGGTTTGCTATTCCGAGCCAAACACACACCTCCACCCTGACGCCCCCGCACCACTCCCTCGCTCTCCATCCAAGCCTCTACAGCAGTCACAACACGGCAGCCATTTTAGATCTATAAATCAGAATGCATGGCGTCATGCCACTGTGTATAACCTTATGTGGCTTCACTTTCTCTCTCTCTCACTGCAGCAGCGGCAGAGGAATGGAGGAAAGAATATGGAGGATAAAAGCGTCCAACATGGAGAGAAGCGGAGTTAGCTAGACGTCTTCAGGTTGATGCTAATCGGGATGTTTGGACTGAAGCTGGCGGACCCGTTCAGGTTCTGTGCATTAGTGGCTGAAAAGCGACAGAAATCATCTCTGGAAACCACCTAATATTGGGATGTGAATCCTAAATGTAAACTAGAAGCGCATCTCTGCCTCGGCTCAGGAGGTTTTAGGAGAAAACCGGAGCGAATGTGAACCAAATGTGGTTAAATTTAATGTTAAATTCAGAGGTAAAAATCTCTAAGTCGTCCTGAGTGAGAAAAACATCCCTGAGTGTGTGCGGCCAGAGCGGCGCTCACTCAGCCCAGTCAGCCCTTCCTTTCTTCACGCCTGTCGGAAACACTCCCATGTCAAAGACATGGCTGAATGGGTGCATCCCTCCTCCTCCTCCTCTTCTTCCTCCTCCTCTTCCACTCTCTCCATCTCCTGATGGATTTTCATTCTCTTGCTTTCTCTCTCTCCCTCAGACCAACGCTCCAATGTCCTCCCTGCTTCCCAGCCAAGCGAGAGAACCCCTCCGCCCCCCAGCAACGTCGCCGTTGCCACAGAGGCGACCCCGGGACACAAATAGGACGTGACACCCCGAGAGAGGGGCAGAGGTGGAAGAGGAGGGAGGAGGAAGAACATGTACTCTCCCTT